AATTTATCGAAACTGTTATGAGTCTGTTCAACACTAGGATGTCTCAAATCACAACACTGAAAATAAATTGAAGAGGTGTGTTTTCAGTGTTGTCCAGCACACGCATTTTTAGGCTTATTAGATTTTACATAAAGCTGTGTTGGACAACACTGAAATGCAATACATTTCTACACTTTTTCATAGTTCCACATTTTATTATATGACAGTAAATGCATGCGTAGACAGGACCCTGTATATAAGATGTACTACCGTCGTCTCCACAGGTGCTGGCTGAGATGTGTCAGAGTGGTTATAAGGATGCTCTACGCTTCCTTGAAGAGAACAGTGAGTATTCTACTATTGTGCTACCGTGGTAACTCTCAGATAAGCTTACCTAGTCATGAAGCTATCATCCTCTAGCTTAACCTTTGAACGTGTCACTGACATCATGTTTTTGTGGTGCCAGACCTGCTGATGTTGGAGCGTCCGACTGCTGGCCTCGCCCCGCCGGAGAGCCAGCCCAACTGCTGCTGCAATCACACAGAAACCACCAGAGAGTGGGTGCTCCGGAGGCTCCGCCTGCTGCGTAAACAGCACTGGTGGCTGGACGAGCAGATCGCTCTGCCTACGTCCATCAAGAAAGGTGTGGTGTCATCCCAGACTAATGAAGATATGTTTGAGCCGATTGTATGGCTACAGATTTTGTAATGCGTCTTTAAACTGGTGTGTAAATAATGGTGTAATCATGTCGCACAGTTGATGGTCCTGTTCCCTGTGTGTGTGTCAGTGTTCTGCGAGGCCTGCCAAGACAAACCTGGCCTGTATGCCAAGGTGTCCGAGATGTTGCCAATGAGAGTGGCCTCCTATATGCTCATGCCATACACACTTCCTGTGCAATCAGCCTACTCAGTGGCCCAAAGGTCAGTATAGGTCTAAACAATGACAATATATCACCTTTAAAGGCATGATTTGGGTTTTTTGAAGTCAGGTTGTATGAGGTACAGTAGATGCCGGTCTGTATTCCCCCAGTTTGGAGAAGCAGACACAGAAGCTAGCAGCAGAAAAACACATTTTAGACACCCCAAAAAAAGGCCCAGCTAATGTGTGTTTCTATTGATCTATGCTCTCTTCAAAGCCATCAGACTCCTTTGACAAGAATAGAACACGAGTTGCTGGTCCACCGCTGCCTTGATCAGTTTGGGTTTTTTTTTCTTACTTGAACTAGAACCTGTATTCTAAGAGGTAAAAAATTACTGTTTTTGTCAAAGGAGTCTGGTAACTTTGGAGAGAGCCATAACCGCTTTGATTCTATGTCGGAACGGGCTGACAGCAAGATATAGCGTAATATAGTGTACACATAAACTAATATTGATGACTAATATTTTTTTTAGATGTCCTTTTTTAATTGGCTAAAATACGCTTTGTTGCTGCACCCGTCCTCAGCAGTGCATTGCTTAACTTCCGTGCCAGGGCTAGAACTAGTGCTTCTTCAAACTGGGGGTGTTGCTGCTGTCCACTGTACACATGGCTATGGATAGGTAAAAAAAATCCGAACTAACCCTTTAAACAAAAGAGTTCTGCACCTAAAACCCATCTCCTCTCAGATCAGGACCATGACCAAGTTTCCTGTTCCAGTGTTGAACATCAGTTTAGTGCCTGCTCATATAAAATCATTACTGCTCTGCTCCCAGGTTTGTAGAGTGGATCCCAGAGGTGCCAGCTGATGTGAGCTGGCTGTTTGGGGTGGCAGGTGACGTGTACCGACAGGCCTGGAAAGGAGCACCACCCAACTCCATGAGGTGACCAGTGATTTCCATTACAGTACATAGACAGAAGGAGTTCCCATGCCTTCTGTAAAACTGTACATTTAAAGAGGAGGAGGAGTTTTCCAGTCATGTAAACACCTGGAAATTGATTAAAATGAAATAATTTATGTTGTCCTGAAAATTTTTAATTCTATGTTAGCTTGAGCTGTGGCCAAATTAATGTTAGAGAAAGACTGAAGTCAAAAGTTGTCCTTAAAAAGGTTGAGTCCTTAAACCTGGTGGTAGTCCTCTGTGGTAGGACCTTTTAAGGCCAATAAGTATTGAAGGGATACAGTTGCTGTCCTCAACTTTGTTGCTCATTGCTCAATGCTCCTATGCATGCATCCTGTTTGTTAAATGTCTGTGTAATTGACTTCACAGTGAGCCGTGCCTGAGGAAATGCTTGACCGTGCCACCTCTACCTACGGAGTGTGACAGACCCATGCAGAGAGACCACCTGCCCGCTCTTTCCTCCCTGGACCTCCACGGCAGCTACTGGGAGATCCCCAAATCTACCTCCTCTTCCTCATCCTCCACATCCTCCCGCCACCATTCTCACATAGCCCCGTCTTCCCCGCAACAAGTCTGCTTCTTCGTTGGCTTGCAGGAGGAACCTCACAGCAGCACACAGCAGTAGAATGATGCAGGACCTGCACTGTAACAGTGATGGGGTCAAATTTCCACTCTGTGTGAGGCTGATGGATCAGTCGGTGGTTAATAAGTGGAACAACGAGCAATGGTGCTTTAATGTTTTTAGGAAACAGACATTTATCTCTGACTCTGAACACTCCATACATCACAGAGTGTATGATATTTTAACAAGGGCTCTGGAGGACAGCGTCACAACTAACTCAGGATCATGGATGTGTTTTATGACCTGTTTTAATGTACAGCACAGAAATGTGTCTAATTTTACAGTCTAACTACAACTCTGCCTACCTTTTTATTGAAAATATACTTAAAAGTAGCATTAATTCCTTATTCCAATACAGTGAGTTGAATCAAGAGTCCTTTTTCTCTCCACAAGTGGCTCTCTCTATCTGTCTTTTTGTCCTTTTAATCATGTCTGTTGATTTTTACTCTTGTGTGGTATCTCCAGGCGCCATATGATGGCTTTTAAGGTGACATGTTGCAACTTCTGGCAGCCATATTGGAAGTCTCCCAGCCTAGTTTTTTCACATACTTAAGGCCTTTTGCACACTGGGGACGTGAGGAATAAACAGTATGAAAATGCAAAATACTGTGAATGTCTCGCATTAAAACTATTCATCCGATTCGACTGTGAAACAGTTATTATCACGAAAATAAAATGCTAAATCTACACAAGCTTACTGTCAGGATATAGTGACAGTTTCAGATAATATCAATCTCTCTATAAAAGTTACCTCCAGTAGCTTTATTCTTGCCAGAAAGGGAAGTAATTATTTCTCCATTAATCTGACCAGTTTTGTTTTTGTTTTGAGTATTGCTAAAAGCTGGAGCTCTGCCCTGCTAATTACTTTGGTGAGAAGATTGTTGTAGCTAATGGAAATAACAAAAAAGACCCAAATAGCAATAAACTAAAGTGTCCTTTAACTGAAATGATGTCTAGATAGTAGAACTCTTTATATTAAAAGAAATCTACCCAAAAAGACCAGTCACTTTACCCACTGATCACTCACATGACTGACCAGTTGCAGTGTACTTGCAAGTAAATTGAGCCCATTTCGTATGTGTAAAGCCAGCAACCAACCTCTGTGATGATGTGAGGCAGCTGCTGGGAGATTCTCTGGCACAACTCAGCTGTAGAGGTCATTTTTGTGACTCAGTTTGCCAAAATGAAACACTGTTGCTGACTGTGCTGATCAAAAGAGTACAACCAGTGTTATTGTAATATCAGTGTCACCTGAGTTAATGGTCTGACCTTCAACTTCTAAATCTGTTTATGTCTCCTATCACTTGAATGTAAAGTTATGTTAATGCCACTGTGATAGTCTCTTAAGATTAAATATTTTTAAATTGGTTGTCTTGTTTATTTGACTGTCCTGCACCAACTGGTAACACTAGGCCAGAGGTTCCCAAACTTTTTCATGTCATATAATATAATAGAAGCACATAAGACCACGGACCCCCAAGTTGAGAGGATTTAAAGGTGCAGTGTGTAGGATTTAGTGGCATCTCTTGCATCTCTCTTGCTTCACCCTCCTTTCCAAATGCGAAGGAGAAATTACGGGGGCTGCGAAATACCTTAAAAAGGCGAATGAACCTATCTAGAGCCAGTGTTTGGTTTGTCCCTTCTGGGCTACTATAGAAACATTCAGATGGTTATACACTAATGAACACATAGATACATGAATATTATATTCCATTTCTGACAATAGAGCCTCATAAATGTTACATTCTGGACCGTTAAGGAATCCCATTTTTAGGTTTGAAGATAATAAAATCTTCACAGTGAATCAATGATCGCGCTGGGATCACAATAAATTACAGTGAACCAAAACAGCCAACAATAAACTTGCAAAACATTTGTTTTCCTGAGGACCTCCTAGTCAAAAAGTATTTTTTTATTGGTGCTATAAGCCTATAAGACTCTTCCCCCTTTATAAGAAAATATGTTTGGTTCTCGTCGGATTTTCACAGTCTTCTGTGAAATCAGTTTTTTCTATTGGATCTTAAACATTTTAGACGACTTACATGGATTTCTCAAGAATAACCAAAAGGATTTTTATTCCTTATTCAAAATCTAACTTGGCTATGGATTCTTAGAAAATCATGTTTTCCACCACTGCATAACAAATCGCTTGTTGAAAATGCCCTAGAAAAGTCAATGGAGTGTGTCTTCACGTACTAAAAAAGACAGCTGACAACTGTTAGTCTCTAGATCCCAGTTGGAAAATGGAATTTACATGATACAAATGTCCTATTATGATGAAAACAGTGATATGAAAGCCCATTTCTGCCATTGTGATAAATAAAATGCATTCTGTTAATCACTGTAATGAAAAACCTTCTCAATATTTTCACTTAATATCTCAAAATAATTAGAGACTTTCTCAAAATAATGACTTTAAGTTTGAGATATATTCATAATGATCATAATATTCTGAATCTTTTTTTTTTCAGTGACATTGGCAGAAATGGGCTTCCATAATCTCCTCTGCCTGTCAGCCCCTCTGATCTTTCCTGCAAACATTTCCTCCTTAACATCTGTGGGATGATGTGCATGCTCTGCGCATGCGTCCTGGCTCACCAACAACATCAGGGAAGAGGAGGATGGCGGAGGATGGTAAGGAAGAGTCGGTGGCTACTGACGACGATTCAGAGCACACAGCGGCGGACCGGAGCAACAGCTTAAACGACACGGTAAAACAGTACCTCCCCCCCCGTTAACGGTACAGGGCTGCGTTAACCGCTGGCTAACAGTTTAAAGCTCAGGGCAGAGCTAGCTTACATTGTTGTAACACAAGCTAACGTTAGGTAGCTAAATATAAGTTACTATTTAAACCGCCATTGAAATGGTTTTCCTCATACCGGACTCTGGGGTCGTGTAGGGCTCACACAGTCTGCTGTTACAGTGGGGTGCTAACATGGCTAACATTGGTTTGCTTAATAAATAAGGTTTCCTGGTTGACAGCTGTTAGCTTGTAGCCTCAAAGTGGGGCCAGGAATGGGCAGAGGGGAGGGAGCAGTGACCCGACCAACAGCTGTTTCCAGAGGTTGTTAGTGATGCTGTGTGATGTGTGGTTCAGATGGTGGAGGAGGGCTCCACGCTCCTTCGCAGGATGGAGATCTGTGTCGCTGAGGCTGAGAAAAGGAGTGGCAAGAATGCAGTGAACATGCAGGAGACGTTCACCGTGTACCTCATCGAGACGCGGTGAGTGCTCCCCGATCAGCACTGTGAAAGGAAGTGCAGCGGGTTGTTGAGCTGAGATGTTCTGATATCTCGACTTCCTTGTTTTAGCTCTGTGTTGTTGCATTTACTTCTGTCTTTTGTCACTCTGCAAAAACAACAACAATGTCCTGTGGCTTTATCTTTAAAGGCCGATGGATGCCGTCACTGAAGGTCGTAACCCAGCCCCCGACTCACTGTGGAGGAGATACAGCGAATTTGAGCTGCTGCGGAACTACCTGATAGTTACCTATCCATACATCGTGGTCCCCCCTCTGCCTGAGAAGAGGGTGAGTGCCTCTGCTTTCCCAACTCTGTTCAGTGATACTCACAGGATGCAGCCTTGCTTTAGATCCCTAAAGAAATGTCTAATATAGTACAGGACTGGCTTCCAGCTATCCTCTGGTAAATGAAGGTCCCATATCAGTCGTTATGGAGCTGGAATTTTTGCTCATTTCCTCCTGGTCTTCAGAAAGAGCTCCCATAATAATAAAAAATCAGAAGTAGTATATTTCCTCGTCCCTAAATCAAAACAAACACACTGTTGCTCTGAACTATAAAGGTTTGAGTGCTAACATGTAACAGTTTCACTCACTGCTTTGTTCAGTCGCACCATCTCTACTTCAACTTAACTAATGCCAGGTTCAGACTAAACAGTATCAGCCTGATGATAGCCCGACCTGACAGACATTTGGAATGAAAGTCGCCGTTGGCTGCAGCAACTGATGGTTTTACCCTGTGTAGTGCATCATAGTGGAATGCAAACAGGCAGCCTCACAGCTTCCTCACAGAGAGATTAGTGTGTCCAAATGTTTTTGCTTTCTACGACAATTTCACCTTGATAAAAACACTGCTGCAGCAGGTGTTAAAATGGGAGAGAACTACTGACACAAAGTAAAAGATCTATAATAAACGGCTGAATTAGTTCATTTAGATTTAGTTAAGTTAAAGTTGATGTAGAGTTGTGTTTCTTCCACATCTATATGTAGGAACACATATGTTGGACTGTCTGATGCACTTAGATGCACAGTTACTTAGAACAAGAACAATGAAACATCACTGGTTATTGTTGTGATTTTTCTTGTGGGTGTCCAGATGCCAGGACGGTATAGTGGATTCAATTAGGTGCAAATAAAATCAATAATGACCGCAGAAACAACTTATCCACATGGTACCGGTTGCTATGACAACAGACAACACAAACATTTGTGCATTTAAAGATTATATTATATGAAATTCACTTGCCACTAGGTGTCACACTAGAGTACCGCCATCTCAGACCAAAATAATCAGCACTATGTCCAACCAGACTCTATTGACAAAACCAGTCATTTCTAGCACTCCAAACTGGACAGAATCAAAATAAAACTGTATTTGTTAGTCTTTCCAACAATCACCAATGCTGGTTTGGTCAAAATAAATCATTAATTGAATAAATTGTATGGTACAACCATTGTTTAACCAGATTATCACACCTTCTTACACTTAAACTTACACATAGCCACTGCAACAGCCTGCTGATATTTGACAGTGAAATGAGATTCATATAATTTACATGGTAGCTTTGTTGCAGGGAATTACCCCTCTCTGGTGTAATTGTTTCTAGTTTGGAGCAATATCCAAATAATAGAATGAGAGGGGCTACAGGAACCTATAAAGTTATTTCACAGTAAGATATATTGTGGTAATTAAGAGATGATGAGAGATTATCATCATTGTAGCTACAATAAGTAAAGCTGAAATCAGACCAGGCTTACCCCGAAGGCTGTCCAGTTTAGATTTACATATGCTTTATTAATCTCAATAGCATATAGTGCAGAAAAGGTAGAGCATGATTCAACTGTGTGTATTAAAGCTGACGCACCAAAACATACAATTGATGAAATCAAAGAAAAACAAAAGTTGTTTGTTTGTTCTCTTGCATGCAGGCAGAGTTTGTGTGGCACAAGCTGTCGGCAGACAACATGGACCCAGACTTTGTGGAGCGCCGTCGGGTCGGGCTGGAGAACTTTCTGCTTCGCGTGGCATCACACCCGGTCCTCTCCAACAACAAGCTCCTCTACCACTTCCTCACCGAGGTACACGCTGCGGCTCTCAGCCCGGCAGTTCAGCCCATCACTTATACATCAGTGGCTGATTGAATAACTTTTCACTGCTCTGTGTGGCAGGAACACGGCTGGAAGGAGGCGGTGTATGAGACAGGATTTCAGGCAAAGGTATGTGACATTTATGGAGCTTTTATCTCTTTATTCTTACAGGCAATTCATTCAAAGATTTGTAGGTGTTCACCTCCTCCTGTTACTCCTGTTGCAGGCAGATTCCAGACTGAGAGCTCTCAGTGCCACCTTCAGGGTGAGAAATCCAGATAAGTAAGTTAGTGTTCCCTAAACGCACTGTAAGACGGGTTCAATTATAATTAAATGTTGTCAGAAATGACCATTAATGTCTCAATAATTCTTCCCTAGTAGTTATTAAGAGTTATATTTTACAGTTGAAGCTGTGTGTTTAATTAAGCTGCTAACTTGAATGAAACTTAAATTACAAAGACATTAGCTTGTGGTGTTTGTAGGTAGAAGAACCTTTTATACACTTTATTAGTATCAACCATTTGATTTATCTAAACACAGCTAAACCCAAAGAAGCACCAATTTGAGCATTGTATGACTTAATCGATCATGAAAATAAGGATATAATATTTGACTAGTCCTTGTGGCTCTAGATCCATCAGATTAAAGGAACAAATAAATGAAATTAAAGGATAAATAAATATATATATATATACATTTTTAAAGGACCAGTGTGTAGGATTTAGCTGCATCTTGGAGCGTAGTTGCATAAAGGCCCTATTTAGAGCCAGTGTTTGGCTTGTCCGTTTTGGGCCACTGTAGAAACATGGCAAATCAACAAGGCGGACTCTGTAGAAGAGGACCCGCAAAGGCTCATTCTAAGATAACAAAAACACAACCATTCTTTTTTTCAGGTGATTACACACTAATTAAAACATACCTATAAATATTGTATTCCATTTCTGACAAAAGATCCTCCTGAATGTTACACACTGGACCTTTAAATAACATGGTAGACGTTATTTTAATCAGTGTTCTGTCTTTTTTCATTTTCTCTTACGAAGACGCTTCATGGAGATGAAACACTACAGCGATGAGCTGCAGTCTCACATATCTCAGCTGCTCCGAACACGAGCAGTATGTTTCTCTTTCTACCTGTCCTAGTCTCTCAGGCAGACACGCACCGATTGAATTCCTGTTTGCTTTATGCTTTAAATCTTTAAACCTGCAATAACTGATTTTCTTAGCCACTCGGGGCAGCAGATATGATTGGTATAGTTGCTTCTTTACACATCTAGCAGTCACAGATTCAGCTGAGTCTCTGTGTAGGTTCATCCATACCAGAGCCCCTTTCATATTGTCACATCGTTTTCACATTGTCATCTCAAACATTTTTGTTATAACAATATCCATTATAGCTGCTTTAAAAAGATGTCATCTGAGTCTCATAAAAAACATTTTGTGCTGACACTGGAAGTTCATTGTTGACGTCAGAAACAACAGAACAATCTCACCGCAGGGTCCATTTAATAGCAGTAGTCATTTTTGTGCTTGAATGACTTCATTCATATGTATAAATTAATAGAACTTAATGTTAAACAATGTTGCTAAACAGCTTGAATCCAAAGCATTTCTGTCCAGAATCTAAACAAAAACTGCTTCTTTAGATAAGACTGTCCAACTGACAATTTGTGCTGTTTAGTTTGTTCTGTATTACTGTGCACAGTGGTATATGTGCAGACTGACAGCAGCTAAAGATGGGCAGCTATATAACAGTGTTGTAAATGTAAACGGATCTTGATACATATCTTAACACCAGATTCTTGCCAATACACATTTTTTATTGGTTCCATTTACTTTCTGTCTCTTCTAGAGGGTTGCCGATCGACTCTACGGCGTTTACAAGGTCCATGGGAACTATGGAAGAGTCTTCAGGTCTGACAACAAGCATATCATTTATCTGGACATGAATAAAATAGGACCTGAATTGTTGTCAAATCATTGTAGTCCAAATGAACAATTCTACCATGACAGGCTTTACAATCTGTACGGTTTACACCACCCTCTGTCTTTACACCCTCAGTTTGGATTAGGGGTGTAAGAAAATATTGACAAATGGTATCGCAGTAGTTTTGTGTTATTGTATCAATTCTCCAAAACAGAGTGGTTTATAGCAGTGTTGTAAATGTAAACTGAGGGCTATGGTGTTGGATGTTATAGAGATAAATACAAATGTAGATTTTATGCATGTGGTGGTGTGTTCTACATACTACTACTATAATACTATTGTCTTTCTATACTTTGCTAAAATAAAAAAAATGACACTACAATATCGCAATATTTCACAATATATTGAATCCTAACCACTGTCTCTTGATACATATCGTAACGCCAGATTCTTGCCAATACACAGCCTTAGTTTGGATAGGGGAAAAAATGAAAACTTTAACATGGCAATGACATTCAGCAATATTCAACGTGCAAAAATGATGTAGAAACCTGAAGCCACCAGTGCACATACACTGAGAATGGACTTAGAGACATCTAGTGTCCAGCAGGAAAACGTTAGAAATTAACAACATTTTCATAGGATCAGAATTTTTAATGATCCTAGAATTGTGCATTTAAATGTGACCATCATATTTCAATAAATGTAGATACAATGAAAATTAATTTTGCATTATATATCCAGGATGGATAACAAAACTTCACTTATTTATCAAGACAGTATTTTATCAAATGTATCAGCGTGTGCAGTAGGCTGTCCCTGCTAAGTGTGTGTGTGTGTGTGTGTGTGTGTGTGTTTACATCCATGTTTTACTGCAGCGAGTGGAGCGCCATAGAGAAAGAGATGGGAGACGGACTGCAGAGTGCCGGTCATCATATGGATGCGTGAGTATTTGAATTTTGACTCACTGCCTTGCCATAATCCCCTCTATTCCACGACAGATATAATCTCTAGATTAGAACACACACACACACTGTAGGATTGTTACTGCCACTACCAGCTGTGTTGCTCATTAAACACAGATGTTTTTTGTCACACACCTGTAGATACGCTGCCTCAATAGATGATATCTTAGAGGAAGAGGAACATTATGCAGACCAAATGAAAGAGTATCTCTTCTATGCTGAAGCTCTGAGGTAAGACCCATCTTTACCAAATATTTTAAAGGTTTATGACATAGTAGCTCCATTGTGATGTCACCAGTTCAAGCCTGAGACAGTACTTCATTTGTACTTTTTAAGGTCCTCTAATCAAACTAAAGGTTGTGTTGCTACAACAGAACATGTGTTATCATGCTATATGATAAATCAAAATTAGGGATGTCCCAATTAAGTTTTTTGGCTCTGATCCTAAACTGAATCAGAATCAGAACCGGGTTAAAAAGAGAGAGAATAAAAAGAGACAATATATAAAATATAAAAATATGACTGTTATTTAAATAAATGAATGAAGAGCTGTACAGGTTTCAGAAATGTGAAGAATATTGTTCAGGGAATGTTCAAGTTAGCAGTGTGACATATGATGTTGTAATGTGCAAAAATAAAAACCAAAGCAAGTGCATTCATGTAATGCATAGATTCAGGGTGGGTGGTGGGTCTAAGAGTCAGTCAGAGTCAGTGTCAGTGTTGATGAGACCAGCTGCAGATGGGAAGAAACTGTTCTTGTGATCCTGATGGTTGAGGGAAGTGTTTCAAAGAGTTTGTGTCTGGGGTGGGATGGGTCAACCACAAGCTTACCTGCACGCCTCAAGGTCCTGGAGGGAATGATACGCTGCAGTCTGCCCCTATCACTTGGCAGTGGCAGCAGCATACCAGATGGTGATGGAGGAGGTGAGGATGGACTCCATGATGGCGGTTTAGAAGTGCACCATCTGGTATCTGTTGATATCTGATACTTACATTCATTAAATGGGATTTAAAATATGTATCTGACACATAGAAAAAACAGCTAAAGTTACTAAATCTGACACCAGCTACTGGATCCAAATTCTGTAGGTCCTGATTCAAAACTAGGAAGTTTCTAAGCTTCAGATCCATTCAAATATGAATGGATGGATCTGCCCTGATACTGATCCTTAAGATTGGCTTGGGGCATCTCTCATTATAACTACGATGAGGTTAGATAAGCTTGCAATGCTTAGAGCTGCTACAAGGAACATGGACAAAAGCGGTAGTGTGTCTACTGCCTCGTTGAATTGATTTCAAGGAAAATCCAACCAAATCCTACCCAGTGGCAGTCTTCTCACTGATGGCCTGTAGGTCATATAGAAGCATCAGAATTAAACTGAGACTATTTATAACCAGTTAAAAACTCCTTCTAGTACATTTAAATATAAAACTGAAACATCACAAGTTAGGATAGGAGTTTTAAAAATATTAAAGTCAATCTTTGTTTAAAATATTCAAGAAAGATAATGTTTTAACCTGGAAATTGATTAAAATAAACAAATATCCTGGAAATAATCTATGTTGTCCTACAAAATTTTATTTTGATTTTATTGTATTTTAGCCTGTGCTGTGGACAAATTATTGTTCTGGTTAGAGGAAAACTGTCAGTTTGAAAAGTGGGAAACGCTGTGGTGAGAACAGCCAAGCGCCCCACAAAAGTGAGCTAACACAGATGACCACCTATAACAAGTGCTGTCCTGTATTGTCAAGGACAAATGCCCTGGAAAGGCCTGGGAAAACAATTTCTTAAAAAGAGTGGGAATCCAGGTGGGTTTTTAAACAAGCTGATAATCAGTGGGAGCCAAATCTGTACATGGCTGTTCATTTTTTGATAAGGCCCACCTTTTTAGTCTCAGCTTTCACACATTGCACCAGCATAAAGTGCCATGAAACTAGTTCAAAATGTCTGAGAGAAAAAAGAAAGCTGAAATGAGCTGTGAGTGGCTCAGAAAGATGTGCTGTACTAACGTTTTATCGGATAGTGACCAAAAGATTACTATCAAAGTACAATGTAACCACCACCAGTATCAATGTACAGTATGTCAGTGTTACCAGCTAAAACTTCATGTTAAGAAAGTAAGTGGAGTTAAAATGAATGGTTCAAAAAGACTGCAATTATGGCCCTGTAGCAAGTCTCTCTACAACTGTGGGTTCCTTCAGCACACAATACAGCACCACAGGTCAGTTAATCAAGATACATTTATTGACTCCTCAGCTGCACACACTGTCAATACAAAATACTCAGCTTTACAGCTCTTCTGAGGCTTCTATAGCCCTGTTCCAAAGTCTGTGATAGTTCACTCCAAAGTCCTTTCTTGTTTGTGTGTTGCGGCCAACTCACAAGCACAAACAACTCACAAACAACTCACAAACAAACTCACAAATACTGTATTAGAGCATAAGAGCAGATAATGATATCATGTTTGCACTCTGCTTTGGCAGGGCGGTGTGCAGGAAACATGAGCTGACCCAGTTTGAGCTTGAGATGGCCTCCCAGGACCTCATCTCCAAGAAGCAGCAGCGTGAGGAGCTGGCTACAGGGGTACACTATACTCATGTTACTATTCTTGAGCAGTGATGGCTAATTCTGTAATGTCAAATCAAGGTAAGACCTTTGAGGAGGACTCTAGATCGTCAACAGCTTCCAAACTTACATGTTTTCACGCCTTCCTCAGATCGTGCGGACATTCTCCTTCAAAGGCATGACCAACAAGCTGTTTGGCCAAGAGGCACCCGAACAGAGGGAGGCCAGACTGAAGCTGCTGGAGGAGCTGATAGTAGAGGGTGAAGAGACAGTCAAGGAGAAAACAGTCGAGTGCGAGTGAGTCACAGACACTGCCTAATGCTTGCACATTGTGTGGAAGGTTAGCAGAAGATCACATGTCCTGCCTTCTGAATCCTGACACATCAAAAGATAGCCAGGTTGTTTTTTTAAATTGAGGTGCTTTTTGGGCCTTTCGATCATATTTTGAATTCACAGGCTCGCAAATTCCCTCCCATCTATGGCCACATTCAGACTGCAGGCCAAAGTCACCCAGATTAGATTTTTTCATGACAGTGTGAACAGCACAAATCACATGGAATCTGATCTTTTCAGTTCTGATTTGTGTCACTTTCATATGTGGTCCAAATCAGATACAGGCTGGATTTTTTTGCAATGTGACATCACTACATTTTGGAGGCAAATATTGAACTGTTTAATCCACTACAGTATTTGAGAACTTAAGCTAGTAGTTACTTTGCAGGTTCACATTATTAAAATATAAACAAAATGTAAATAAATAAATTATTATGTATTAATATAGATTAATCAGTATAAAGAGTTCAACCTTTGTCTAACCTCATGATGTGTAACCAATCAGATTGAGTGAGAGCCAAAGTAGTGCATTTTTAAGTTTATTTAATCAGCCAACAGATGAACGATGGAATCTTTCTGTTTTTTATTATCTGAAAAATGCTGAATATCAGATTCAATAATCAGCCAGGCTGACAATCGGTCTATCCTTCATAGATAATGTCTTTGCCAATTGTGTGTGTGTGCTTCATTTGATCTGTCCTACTGCAGAGAGCATGTGGAGAAGGCATTGGTGGACATGCAGCGGTTCAAGGAGCAGAAAGACAAAGATCTGCGGGAAGCGCTCATCAACTACGCCGTCATGCAAATCAGCATGTGCAAAAAGGTAGAGAGCGGCACATGAGCTGCCTGAATGGTTCAGGATATTACTGTAGTGGCCATGTTGACGATAAAAGTCTTTCCTCTCTCTCCCTGCAGGGAATACAAGTGTGGAGCAACGCCAAAGAATGTTTCCTGAAGATGTAAAGGTGAAGCCATATTCAAAGCATGTCCACCCTCAGTGAGGCTCACTGGTGGATTCTAGGAAGTGAAACCAACTTCCTGAGGTCTGAAAACAGCCACAAGAGAAAGCAACACAATTGTGTGTAAATATAATATCATTTCCCTTCGCGGAGTGATAAGGTGTGTGGTGGATCTCAACAAGCACATGACTTGGATTGGAGACCAGTTCACAGGGTTGACTTTTTAAATATTTACCTAAGACCATTTTCTCTTTCCCTCAAGAGGCATTTCACCAATTTTAACAGACAGTTAAGTGGTCATGGGATTAGTATCAACTGGTGAGTGTGCTGTTTGAGAGACGCTATCAGGTTGCATCATGGGAAGTATAGGATTCAGGATTTCTGAAGCTCGAAAGACTTGTTATCTCACAGACTACTGCATTGATTTTGACCATTCTTTTTTAAATTGTTTGTTGCCCAACTTCATTCAGATGCAATACTAAATTGGTACCGAGGTTACTTTTACACATATCTACTGTAAACTGCTTGCTTCAGTTCAAACACACTTTAGTTTGGTTGGTTTAGTGGTGGTGGAGTTCTGTCAGTCAAACTTTGGTACAGACCGAACAGGCTTCCACCGGAGCCAAACAGACATGATTTTGTGATAGCAGATGTGTGATCTATTAAAACGCCTGCTGATCGTGAACTATCAAAGAAGCAGGGTCTGGTTTCACAAAGATAAACTTTGACTGTGGCTTAGATCAAACTAGTCAGACTTCAGATCATCTTCAGTTGGACTCATTTGTCAGGAATTCTGGGTAAATTAAGACTTTTTGCAAACTGAAAAAACATGGCTGACCAAGCAACCTGTCCTATCCTCTTAATGTCGTGTCTTCTGATGATGTGAATGAATATGAGTCTAAATACGCTGAACAAAACAGTGCAACTCTTGTACTTATACACACACAGATAAACGGGGTGTAATCTCCCTAAAAGTCCCCACCCTGTCCTGTCATATGCAAACAATGGATTTCGGTTCTGCAAAACAACTTCCAGTAGTATCAAATGGCTTCTTAATGTGGCAGGGCTCACACCCTGTGCTATCTGGTCAGTCAGGCTCAGGATCATCAAAAAGTTCAAGGTTTCCAACAGGTGGCAAAATTCCTCAAGATCTCTAAAAACGACATTCCTTTCTCATTATTCGCTCCCCAACATTGTTAAAAAGCCACAAATTATGAGCCATGTTTTCTTCTTTTTTGTCTTTTGGTGCCACTGGTTAGCATGTGCCACTGATTGTTACCATAGAAACACAACTCTTAGTTCAGTGTTGGCTTGCTTTATGTCTGAACTTTTTGTTGTGAAACCATCTAAGTTCCATTGACTAACCTACTGTCAGAGCAAAGTTGATACAGGCCTAACACCACAGACCTGTCTAAAATATCTCTGTGAAACCAGACTCAGATGGGTTGCATTTTTTAAATCAGTCTTTATCACGCCCCCCCCCATACGATAAGACTGCGGAGTCTTAAAAGCCTAAATGATTTTGAGAGGTCTTTAAAAATTATTAGATTAACTTTACTTACATAAAGTTTTATTTGCCATTCTCGCTTTGAAATGTGTTTTTGAGAAAGATTCGTATTAATCATGCTGTAACAACTACAAAATGAAACCAACATGGAACCAATAATGATTTTCAGATGCCGATACAGATACTGATTATTAGTAATCAAGGAAACCACTGATATACATTTGCAATAAAATGTAATATCTTCAAAATATCTCAAAATATAGAATAACCTAACCTTCATAAGTACATTCCCTGAAGTACTATGTACAAGTACAACTTTGAGGTACGTGTGCTTTGCTTGAGTATTTCCATTTTGTGCTACTTTATACTTCCCCTCTACTACATTTTGGAGGCAAATATTTGTACCTTTTACCCCACTACATTTGTTTTTATACCTTTAGTTACTAGTTGCAGATTCACATTAATAATTCAAAATATAGATCAACTAGTAAATTATGTTTACTAATAGTATAGATTAAGTAATGCAAAGTAATCAAAATTAGCTCCACCTTTACCAGCTGCAACATTCAACAATGATAACAATCATGCAGGCTTAGTGTTATGTTAAAAATGAATTTCTGAACACAGCTATATCAGATCGGTACTGGTAATCAGTTTATCCCTACTCAAAATAGGTCTTAAATTGCATTCTGAATACTCTTAGAAATTGAACCTGTTAAAACCTGCAGAAACCCTGTATCTTTCTACCTGTTTGTCATTACTCATGACTTACGAGGTCCAGAGAAAAAAACACTTTTGATTTCCACTTGTGGGTCCATGTAGAGCTGATTTCAGTCAGATGAATGACCGGCACTTTATTTGGTTTCATGTTGGTTCCTTTGTTATAAGTGAGTGTGAGCCAAATTGGACCAGAATTAAAAGGGACCGTATTGTACTTGTCTTTATTGGTTCAAAAGGAATGAACTCAAGTGTGAAAGCGACCTGGGCTGCCTAAACATAACTATGAAGGCATCTAAAGCACATTGTAGTGCTTAATAGCACCTAATCATGCTTAAAGGCTCTACAAGGAGCTTTCATTTTGTGTTGATTCCTGCGGCCCCTGTGGACAAAGGCGGTAGTGTTTCATTGATTTCAATGGGTATCCGACCAGATAAAAACTCCTTGTAGTACGTTAGAGATGCCAGGAGTGGATACTGTAGTGAAAATAAATGAAATTCTGATTAAAACAAGCATCATCTAAGTGGCATTACATTTTTTTCGCCTCCCTCTGCCATGAGGTAATAGCCGATATTTATTTGAATAGGCTACAAGATGTTGATTACATGTAGTGATGTCCAGGGCAATGCATTGTACCTATGTACAGTAACCTGCTCATGAGGCTCATGAGGAAGATTTTTTATCAAAGAGTTTCATTGAATTTAACCTTTGTTTATTGACTCCTACATGTTCTGTATGTTATTTAATTAACTTTTTATGTGCTGAGCCAGCAATAAGCTTTGTGAGTGTATTTATAAAGTTTGTCCACACCCTCTTATATTTCACATTTTAATGCTCAGTTTGGATGAAGCTCTGGTTGTTTTATTTATTTGAATTAAAATGTGTCACACCACTGATTGTATTTGTATCTAGTTTTTCTTGTATGTTTGGAGTACACTCCATAATCCAGAATAAATCATAATTTGCATGGTTCAGAGATTTTTAAAGACTGCATATTCACTGCTTTTTAAAAAAAGCAAAACTGGATCTAAATTCTGTCTAAAGATGATTCTTGACAATGGAAACAGCAGTTAACAAAACAATCAATTTCAGTTCATTTACTATGTATAATAGTTATCTGCATTACAGAAGCCTTTATTGTGTTTTCATACTGTATATCATTATTACCACCTATACATTAACAATTTAGCAGCATTTCAATGTGAGCTGGTCAATGTGGAGCTGATTTTAACCATTGAGAATCCATCGTGGAATTATAAGTTATTGATTCTTAAAGGTCTTTTTTTCTTAGAATGAATCAAACAATGCCAATTTGGTGAAATTATTTCAGATCTGTTTCTGACAGAAGGTTTCTTTTTTAACTTTGTAGAATGTAGTGTAAGAATAAGGGGCTTCTGCTTTTGAATCAAGAATAATACCAACTTATTCCACAAATTTCATAAAACCAGCAAACTTTTATTAAAATATGTTGAAATCATCTCACTGGATTAAAAATAATAAATCTTTTGAGACAAATGATGGACAGAAATGACTGTGTGTGCAGTGTAAAGGCTAAATCTACAAAGTTAGTCAGTAATCATTTCAAACGTGGCCCTTTAAAACCTTCCCACAATGCACCGCGGGCGCTGTCAAACTCATTCTTCCGGGTTCGATCACTCCACCTCCACGTGAGCGCTATCTCGCCATAGTAATGTCAACAAACTGTATAACGATGAACGGAGACGGGGACGAGGAGTTCACGGTGTTTGTGGCCCTGCACGCCGGGGCCCTGCAGTCCTCAGGGATACCCCCACTCTACTGGAGGAGCCTCCACCACAAAATCACCAGCGAGGTCAGTCTGCTGCGAGCTGTCCGAGCGCGGTGTCTCACGGGACAGTGCCACAGAGTCACGTTATAGTCCAACAGAGAAATACATAAACATTTTCTCGTCGGTGTTTTCTACCGAACAGACGTAACGTTAGGTTTCTATTAACGCGAGACTATTAACAAGTTGTGATGAATGAAAAACCCCTTTAATTTGAAATAAACGATCGTAGCGTACGTTAACGGACCGGTAACGACTGCTAGTATCGCACGTTAACTCTTCGTCGGCTTATGCCAAACTCGCCTAAAAACAATTATGCTTTTATTTTTCTTCATTGTTTGCAAACGCATACAGTGGATAGAGCATGGCTCAAAAACTGTACCAAACATATATGTTCCTGAGGTAAATTCGGCAAATAATTTTAGGCAGTTTTCAATGAAAATTGAAGTGAGTTCTGTTTCAATCAAATTTCGAGCTTTACAGGTGGTTCACACGCCCACCTTCGTGTATGCATGTTCTGTATGTGAACTGTGACAATAGGAGGGGAAGGAGCTTTGATTTTTTAAACAAGTGCTGCTTATGGTATTTGATTCCGCCGTTATGAAAGGTGTATCTAACAATCTATTAAACACGATAAAGCAGTCTTGTTGGCGCTGTGTGCTAAAGATGACACGCAAGCAAACTTTAAATTCTCAAATTCTCAAATGGAGTCTGGTGATAACATTAGAAAATAGGCTCGTGCTTTGTTCTTTTTATGTGTCATAGATTTATGATGCTGGCGAAGTTTTCGGAATCATGCAGTTCCAAGAAGAAGAAAACGACGAGGAAAATGAACAGACTGAGGAGGAGGAGAAAAAGAAAGACAATCCTGGAGCAGTGATCAGCTGTAAAGTGGTTGTGACCCGGGAGAGCGGGCTGCAAGCCGCAGAGCCGACCAGGTGAGGGCGCCAGAGGCCCAAACAAACCCTTGACAGAAAGACTGAGCAGAATCTTCTGAAAGAGTTCAGTATTATATAAATACAAAAGACATTATGAAATGCATGAACATATTAATACATTGATTAGAATGTATAAATCAAGCAACAATTTGAATAAAAAAAAATTGAAGAAAATATTAAAACTCATTTGTTATTATCATGAAATGTTTCATCATTAACTTTCATCACTGAAAATAATGAGGTTCATGTGATTGGCTGAAAGGTAAAAGGGCAGTTACTACATCACTGGAAAGTGTTGTTGGGTATAATGCTATTAATATAACTCTTATTTTTCTTATTTTTTTCATTAATAATTTTGGAACACTGGAGCTCCATAATTGATATAGATTTTCCTCCTGTGCTGCCTGCAGTGTTTTCCTGGTGGATCACGCCTGGACGTACCGTGTAGATCACGCCCGTCAGCAGCTGGAGCAGGCGCCCGGCCTGCTACCCAGAATGGCCACCCTCATGGGGGTTGACTTCCACGGTGAGGCCCCTGACCCGGATGTGGTGGAGCTGGTGATGGAGCGCATGTGGAAGTACAACCAGACATATCACCTCTCCCAGGGGGTACGTCAGCGTTAAACATGATCTCTCATTCTGACTTGAAGCCATACCTCCTTCTGTTGAGGTGCTGCCATGGTGTGTCCCTAAAGCCCCTTTTGTACATAATAATTCAAAATAATAATAAACTTTATTTATATAGCAACTTCCTTGACAATGTTAGAAGGTAAGGCAGATAAAATGAGAATAATGCCAACGGAAATATGCACAGAGGAAGTCAAAACAATAAAATGAATAAGATCAAATAGAAAACCTGTCACTACAGCAAGCCACAGTCCTAGGGTTAGGGTTAGGGTTAGGGTCTAAAAACCTCCACCATCATTCCTGTACCCAAGACCTCAGCAGTCACAAGCCTGAATGATCCACAGACATTAGTGCTACACACAGCCCTCACCCACCAGGATGCTGTTTGTCGACTACAGCTCGACATTCAACTCAACACAACCCAAACAGACTGATTAACAAACTGCACACTTGAGGTCTAGAAACTCCTGTCTGTCTCTGGATCAAGGACTTTCTAATCAACAGACCCCAGCACACATTACTTTAGAAATACACTGGGGAAGGTAATTGGACCACCTCTACTGTCATTGTCAACGCTGTCGTCTCCCAGGGCTGTGTCCTCGGCCCACTCTATTCTGTTTTCACCTATTACTGCACTTACACCTACAGCTCAGATACCATAATTAAAAATGTAAACAGCCTAAAGACACTGTCTGCATGGTGTAAAGACAACAACCTCAACACAAAAACCCCCAAAAGAAATCATGATTGAGTTCAGAAAAAGCAAAAAAAAAATGTGCATCAACAGGGATGAGGTGGAGTTGGTTGCTAGTTTCGACAAATCTGAGGACCTGACCTGACCAATCAGATGGCCCTTAGGATTTCAAGCCAAGACTATTGGACCTTTAACATTGGCGAGCAGATATGTGTGATCCATGTCTTTGATTTTTTAGAACTGTTTTCTGCGTCCACTTGCACCTCATGACTGTAGACTTTGAAAACATGGCAACACAGTTTAGTGCATCCGCGCTCTTGTTCCTATGGAGGTTGTACACTTGTATGTAAGTCACTTTGGACAAAAGTATCTGCTAAATTTAGCAGATGTAAACACAACAGTGTGGACGTAGTCTCAGCCATCTCTCTGTCCTCATCTTCACTCTTCTCCTCCTTTCTTGTGCAGTCTGCGGAGGAGAAGGTTCCAGTGTGGTACGTCATGGATGAGTTTGGCTCCCAGGTGCAGCACTCTGACCAGCCCAGCTGTGGGATGGCTCCGTTCTTCTACATTCAGGGCCAGCTGGCCTACTCCGTGCTCTGGCCTCTGCGGGACCTGCAAGAAGGAGGTGAAAGCAGACACACACCGCATGGATAGTATAAAACATGATAGTTTCCCAGGAGGATAATCCTCCTGTAGAGCAACTGTCTACATCATTCTAAAACCAGAACACGACAAATGTTGAGGATGACAATTTTGCACTCCTACCAAGTAAAAAGAGAGAAAAAAAGAATTGTTACCACTTAAACTTTGGCTTAAAGGGCATTACTAATCTTAAGGCTGCAGTAGGTATCTTTTTTATAAAAGCAACTTTTTGTAATATTTTCTGAAACTTTCACTTTATCCTGACAGTAGTACATGAGACAGATAATTTGTGAAAGAATCAGGTTCCTGATGGGTTGTAGATAGTTGATTGTTGAGTCAGTATTTGATGACCTGGGAATGAGACTTAACAATCATCTATCTTTCTTGGCTCTGATTGGTTGTTTCCATCCGGATTTTTCCAAATGCCATTAGGAGCTCTAGGAGGAGCCAGAGGAACCAGATTGTTTCACAGATAATCTGTCTCAGGTTCTACTGTCAGGATATAGTGAAGGTTTTAGTAAATATGACTGAAAGTTACTTTTATAAAAAAGATACCTACTGCAGCCTTAAGATTAGTAATGCTAGTAATTAGGTGAATCCCTCCATAATAACCTGTAAATCAAGGAAGCCCTACAATGCCAAATAAATGTGCTACTCAAAACTTAAATGATAGAATAGCATACTTCTCACTCTCCTCCTCTTGTCCTTTTCTCTTCGCTCTTACACTTTTTTCCCCTGCTGGCTCATTCAATCACAAGAAAATATGTCCGTAGTCCATAAGCTAGTTAGCAACACACACACACACACACACACACACACACACACACACATACACACACACGTGTGTGTGTGTGTGTGTGTGTGTGTGTGTTACAGTGGGCCTACAGTATAATATATGTGGGTCTTTCTCCAGGAATAGAACTTTTGCTCCAATGATTGATTTAATGAGGAGTGTACAGAAGCGTACTGCATTCACTTGAACAAAAGATTCTGCTCTGTTTTTCTGAATTAAGGAGACACATCCAGCACACTCTCAATGGCCAGGGCAGTCTCTCTGCCCTCTGAACATATCTAATGATCCAATGAATAATTCCTAATATGTTTTTCTAATTTACTAACATAGTGGGTTAAATAAATTATAATTATTAATAAATAATAATTTATTATTTCAAATCTTTGTTGAGCAAGAGTTTTGTGCAAAAGGAATTGAAGGCCTGTTCCAGATAAAGGCAGCTTGAGTTCAGTGATTGAAGCAAACAAAAGCCTGGCCTATTGATTGAAGTTTATGGTATTTCCACAGATGAAGTAACCCGAGATTATACGTATGGCGAGACAAACTCCCTGGTAAGGCGATGCCGCCTGTTACCGTGGATACTTGCTGATCTAGAACAGGTCAGCAGTGTCACCGCCGAGCCCCCGGACTCATACTATGAGGTGAGGACCATCGCACAACACAGATTACTTCACCTTCTTATAGGAACTTAACTTTATCGGTTCTGATTGGTTGTTTTCGTCCGGGCCTGGTAGAGTTTTCCAAATGCCATTAGGAGCACTTCACAGATTATCTGTCCCATGTACCACTGTCAGGATATAGGGAAAGTTTCAGACAATATTACAAAAAGTTAGGTTTTATAAAAGATACCGACTGCAGCTTTAATTCCTACAGCTAACCAGTATCATGTTCAGTTTCTCACATTTATAACAAACCAAAGTGAGTTACAGTCATTTTTGTAGTGCAGTCTGAATCTCTCAGTATTGTTAACTAGCGGAGCTTGACCTCCCTAATATGGCGACAGTGCAGACGTATAGTGGCAGCATACAGCAGAGGACAAGGCAGAGGTATATAAGTTGCTATTTCTATGGTTAAATACATACAACTGGAATAACATAAATGTTAGAAGTAAATTCATTCTCATCTTGTTATAAATTCTGTTTGCGGTGGTAAACCTGTACAAATAAAAGCACTTCTATGTTCTTTTTAAAATTCATTAAAAATAATACCAAGTGATTGAATAATACCAAGCTGTATGGCGGAAAGTACCAGAAAGGGCTAAAGAACAAGTTCACCTAGCAGCAGTGAAGAACAAGGCGGGGCGGCCTGCCAAGTGCTTTATCAGCAGTTGTGCAGGTGGCTAAGAGGCTACTAGACTCAGGAAATTAATGTGTGGCCCAACATGAGGCCCAAAATGATACAATGTATGACAGCTTGCCAGGAGTAAGGTCATGGCAGGTGCAGCCGCATCAAGGATAGAAAAAAGAAGAAGGGATTCCAGTTAAGTATGGTCTCCAGCTAGAAAAGTTTGGAAACCCCTGCTTTAGTCAGTTAAGCTCAGAATTTGGTAGAATTCATCAGATGCTGTCCTGAGAAAAACTTTTTGAGAAAATTATTTCTCAAAAAGAGTGGGAACCCTGTTTAAGTTTAAGGTAGTATTGACAATTCTGCAGTATTAAGAATAAAATAATGAAACATTGTGATTCCCTAACAAGGTCTCACTGATAAGAGACTTTGGCCTTCACTGTCCTCTGTGTCTCTTTCTGTTAGACCATTTTACGGGAGAATGAGGAGCAGCTTCCTGTAGAAATCCAACCCTACAATGTGCCCAAGGACAAAATCCTCAAGTAAGTGTCTCATCTGAGCAGCTCAGTACTGGAGATCTACAGAGATCAACAGCCGTTGTACAAAATACTGAAGCAACCGATTTTTGTGACGTACACTTTTGAGGTTAAGCCATGTAGAATCAGTGAGTTGGTGCTGATTACCTTTATTAAATGTCTACAGTTGGACAGTTATCATGATGACGATGATGATAATAGGTTGAGAAAATGCTAACATGCTAATTATTTTATGGATATGGTAGGCTCAGAGTTAGAGAATGTCCAGTGAGCAGCAGCTCAGGGAAAAAGCCACCCAGAACCAAATGTAATACCAAGATGTAAAAGCACTAATTGATAAGAGGAATGAATCAGAGATTCGATAACCCTGCTTATATTAACTGTCAAAATAGTGGCACTCTGGACGTAAACGTCAGTCTGTTGGTTCGTCCACTAGTATTGGTCAAGCATAGCAATGTTACCATTATCATGTCTGTGCAGAGTTTCAGAATAATCTGCTGAAAGTGGAAAGTTTCTCTGAGCTCATTGAAAATCAGATTTTAAGGGGTGGGGCCTACCAGCATGATTTGTGACATCACAAATAGTTTGGAAGTCAGTCCTGGTCCAGTATCAACTTGTACAGTGTGATGTAGAAACTTGAAGCCACCAGTGCACATCCACTGAGAATAGTAGGAGACATCTTGTGTCCAGCAGGAAAACTTTTAGAAATCAACAACATTTGCATATTCAGAGATTCTGGAATTTCTAATAAGGTAAAAGGAGGAGATGACTTTGTAAAGACTTCTCTCTCCTGTTGTGCCTGTTGCCTTCAGCATTTGAGTGTTAGTCACATCTTTTCATTGTTTTGTGCTTTATTTTCAGGGTTTACTCTGAAATGTCTCAGGTAACCAACAACCTGACACATCCGCGGTTCCAGATGACAGAGGAAGAGGAGGAGGCTGATATCTTGTGGCGCTATAATCACATCAAAGACTACAGGTCAGCAACAAAGCAACACAAACACAACAAACTACTGGTGGCTCAGTAGAGCTCGTTCATCAGTCAGAGAAAATACAAGGAATGCTGTATCTTCGATGTATCTTAGAGCCTGTTAATACCAGCTGTAAACAGGCTCTTAGTGAGATTACTTTTTTTTTTAAATATGAAGCTTATTATTATTACTCATCATCTCTAATCCTTCTTATATTTGTCATTTAGTTTCACAATTTTACCGCAACATGAGTTAGAACTGTACTCAAGACTGAATGTATGTCATATGGGCATGGGGTTCAAGTGTGAACCTATTGTGACGGAGAACCGTTTTGAAGCCTCAAGTTTGACATTTTGGTCGTCGCCATGACCGTTAGACAGAGCCAGCAGCACTTCCCACCCATAAATGCGACCAAATGCGTTTGTTTGAACACACGATCAAGCTGGAAGTGACCCATACCAGGGATTGAACCGCATATCTCTCTGGTAGTTGTAATTATTTCCACCCACTACCCCCTCCCCTTAGCTTAGTGTGCTCAGAGTGAACCAATCATCGCATATCTTCCAGGAACTGTACAAAGTATACCACTACAGAGCTCTTAATCTTTGACAATATGCAGGCGTTCGAGTTGTGAAAAACATCTGGCTCTCTCCCACAAGCTCAAGGCTGCTGCTCATATTTTCTGCCAGTAAAGTACTGGCAAAGTTCAAAAGATAGGGTAGAACTATCTGAAATAAAATGTCTGTTGGATTACAAACCATACTTAACAATCAAACCAACCAACATAAAGAATTTTACTGAATTTTCTTTCACAAATGCAACTTGCTTCAATAAAGACCATCAATAATCTGTAGGATAGATAACAGATAAAGAACACTGAGCATGGAAAGGAGTTTATTTGTGGAAAACTACAATTATTACCATTCCCAATACAGTTGGGGCATAACATGCAGGAGGTTCGTCTTCTCACCCCAGAGCCATCCCTCTCTGTGTAGGTTGCCCAGAAACCAATAGGAGTCACTAGTGCATTTAAAGGACATGATCCCTGACCAGCTTCCCACCCATAAATGCGACCAAATGTCTTTGTACGAACCATCGACCTGTAAAAGATTGACGTTGCGTCTAGTTTCAAATAACTAATCAAAACCAAACATGACCACTAGAACTACCTAAATTGACAGAAACCATCTTTGGGAAAAATGTATTCGATGTGTTTGTAGTACAGTTTGTCACATCGGCTAACATTGAGGCAGCAGGCTTTATGACCTTTACTGCAGTCAACCACCAGAGCCTTCCCCCATACCTCTCTGGTGGTTCTAGTTATTTTCACCCACTACCCCCTCCTCTTAGCTTGGTGTGCTCAGTGTAAACCAATTATCACATATCTTCATAAGATAAGTTTTAAGATACTTTGGTGGCCTAAATGTGATGAAGAACTACTATTGGTAACCACTTTCTATTAACAGTAATGTGCACTAGGGCCGTCAATACCTTTTTAGTTGTTGACCAAAATAACCCAATCAACATTTTAATATGGGGCCTCATGAATATTGACTCACTTCTGTAGCCAGCCTCAAGTGGTTGTTGAAGGTACTGCAGTTTTTGTTACTTCCATGGTTGCTTAATTTGCCAGCCACAGAGGTTACCATTTGGATAAACTCTGGCAAACTTTCAAACCTATGGATGTATTACTCATATTGGACATCCTGGACTGCATTTAATCTTAATATTAAATCTTTGTTTTAAGTCACGCTAACTCCAACTCCTAACTCCTGGACTTTCATATAAGAAACGACTTCTTCTCTGACAGGAAGCTGAGCGAGGAGAGACCTCATGTGATGCTCAACCAGTTTCCCTGTGAGAGCATCGTCACTGTGAAGGACTGCCTGGCTGCCGTGGCCCGCAGAATGAAAGGCGGACCAGCACCTGATTGGCTACCAGAAACCTTCAACCTCCAAACAGAACTGCCACAGTTTATCAAGCATTATCAGCTGAGACAACAAAGGTTGGAATCTTACAGTAGTATCACTGAATATGATACTGAATAGTACTCTGATACAACCAAATTCTATATATATATATATATGTTCCTTTTGTACAAGCTGCTACCAGCAGAAGATGCTGAGGAAAGGCCTCAGACTCAGAATGGTCCCTGTAAGTTGATGTTAGGCTGGCCAAGATGTCCCGCTGTGTGTTTCAGGGGAGAGGATAACCACTGGATCTGTAAGCCCTGGAACTTGGCCCGTGGACTGGACACACACATTACCAACAACCTGGACTACATAATCAGACAAAGAGAGAGTACACCAAAGGTACCACCACCAATACAGACACCATCAAACCAACTTGCCTAAGTGTTACATAGTCAACTAACAAAAGCATCACAAAGGCGTCTTTTGTTCTTTTAGGCCTTCAGTTCACTAAACCAAATCTTAGTAAGTTATTCAAAAGTACTTACAGCTTAGGGCTTGTCATATGAAACCAATAAATGAATGAAATAACCTCTGCACACCTAACCAATCACTGCATAAAGTTGGATAGGTTTTGTCCTGGATGTTTTCAGCAGGGCCAACGAGTTTCTAACCTTGGCTATAAAACAGTTGGGATATCAGTACCTGCTCCTAATAATTCTTTTCATGCAAAAATGCTGGTATCAGGTCCATTAGTTGTCTCCCATCTCCAAGTGCAATATATGTATAGTCACATTGTATGTTAGTCAATGTAAGACAAACTGCAGTTAACTAACTAATCTGTATCAATCGTTGGCTAGTGAGCTAGCATTTAGCTAATTTAACATGTGACTATGCTTTTATCTCTTTTTTTTTTAAAGTTTTTTTTTTGGCTTTTATTGCCTTTATTTGATAAAACAGCTGAAGACAGACGGGAAAGGGGGGCAGAGAGAGGGGATGACACGCAGCAAAGGGCCACAGGTCAGGTTCGAACCCTGGGCCGCTGCAGCAAGGACTCAACCTCGGTACATGGGTCACCAGCTCTACCCACTGAGCTAACCAGGCGCCCTATATGCTTTTATCTTTTAACCATCTTCTATCCATGTTTGTCTTTCCAACACATATGAGCCTAGCACATAGCATATCTCAGCACAGGAAAGGAGGAAGTTGACCGAGCACAGAGCAGGAAGGGTCGGGACTTAGGAAGGGTCAATTGTATTACTTGCTATAATGGCAACATTTGCATTATGCACTGATTCAGACATACAGATGTATTGTTTTGTCGCCTCTAACTGTGTGTGTGCTTGTGTCTTTTTTGTAGGTGGTGTGTAAGTACCTTGAAGATCCAGTGCTGTTCCAAAGAGAGGAGGTGGGAATGGTGAAGTTTGACATTCGCTACATGCTGATGTTGCGCTCTGTGAATCCTCTGCGTCTCTATGCCTACAACGTCTTCTGGTTGCGCTTTGCTAATAGGTGCATCATACATACATACACAAACATACATATGTTAATAAGTATGGGTCGTCATAGCCAGTTTAAAGTTGGTCAAATACACAGATTTATTGATTTCAGTGGCCACCAAGTCTGGATAGATTGTCTCTTTCTGACACTGCCATTCAAAGTTTGTTTTGTCATTGTCCTGGATCTGTGGTTTGAGAAGGACAGTAAAAATCAAAACTCACAGCCACTACTTTGAGGCTGTAATGCTTGTTCTAAATAAACAAGCCATGTTATAGTTATAACAGAGTATTGTGCAAATTAAAACTTGGACTCGATGGTGGTACTTGAGGAAAAGTTGGGGGATGACCCAAGTCATAAAGATAACCTCTGAGACCCATGCCACTAGTGTGACTATAAACTCTACAGGTGTCAAGAAATGTACACTTTACACTTAACTTGGCATGTCCTCATTTTGTTTGCAATCTTAAGGTCGAACGCAGCATGGTATTAGTGTCTTTAACTTAATTGGTAATGATAATAAAATATTTATTTTAAAACAGAGAATGAAATCTTTCCTGGTGCCTGGATCTGATTTTCTTTCTTCTGTCTAGACCTTTCTCCTTGGACCATTTTGATGATTACCAAAAGCACTTCACCGTCATGAACTATGCAGAAGGCGTGGAGCTTAAACAGGTACTTGTTCATTGTAGTTTTCCCTCTTTATCCTAGCACTACCTAATTGTAAAAGCTGTTTGTGAACAAGAACATGGTCACTATGGCCTGATGTACTAATATCAGAGCAACCTGGTCTGGCCAAGACCGGGCAACCACAACATGCTGTGGTTTGACCCTGACTGGGGACCTTTTGTTGCACTTTCTCTCCCTGTGTTTCCTGTGTCTCTAACTGCTAACTATCAAATAAAGGCCAGCATGCCAAAAAGTAATCTGTAAAAACACAAGGGTTGGGGTAAGTGCATGCTAACAAAGCTTGGATAAGTCAGATGCAGTGGTTGAAGTATTGTAACAGAGGCTGAATCTCTGTCTCTAGGTGCACTACGATGAGTTCATCCCCATGTTTGAAGAACAGTACCCACAGTGTCCGTGGAAGGAGGTGGAAGTAAGTGGGAATTTTTAGCCCGTTTCAACTTTTTCAGGAACTTCTTAAAATAAGGAACTAGACCTACATTTTGACCACAAGAATATATCCAATTTTATTGCCTGAGCTGCACCTCCTGCCTTTTAACTAAACCAGACTGATAATCATCAAAAAAATTTATTGGTTGGCCCTTTCTTCCTCCTCCTACCTCTCACAGGCAGAGTTGTTTAAAGCATTCCGGGAACTCTTCCAGGCAGCTTCGTCTCGACCAGCTCCTTATGGTGTTTGTCCCTACCCATCATCCCGGGCAATCTATGCTGTAGACCTCATGTTGAAGTGGAGTACAGGGCAAAATGGTGAGCATTTGTTCTATACTGAATTCAGTTGCAGGGTTAACAAACATCTACTACTACTTTGAGCCTCAGTTCTGAAGAGGTTTCCACTTATAAAAGGTTGTAGGTCTTTTTCCATTGGTCAGTTTCACTCTTTTTTTTTTTTTTTTTTTTAAGTTATTTTCTTGGCCTTTTCATGCCTTTATTAGATAGGGACAGCCAAAGGAAAGGTGGGCAGAGAGAGAGGGGATGACACGCAGCTGAAGCAACTCTGTATATGGGTCGCCAGCTCTACCAACTGAGCTAACTGGGCACCTGGCCAGTTTTACTCTTGGGAGGACTTTTAAAGCAGTACTTGCACAATAACCCAAACAAACTAAGTGATCGAGGCAGCAACTAAAAAAATACAGTTTTTGTCAATGGAGTCTGGTAACTTTGAACATAGCAATATAACGACCGCTGGTTAAACAGAAAGGATCTTACTCTTAAACAAAAAGGTTTATCTCTGCAGGGATCCTTTCCATAATGTTATTAGACACTTACAATCACAATTGGAGCCTGTCAGTGGCAAAAACAAGCACTGTTAGTGAACATACTTTGACTGTGCACAATTGCCCCAAAAGGATTTTACAGGCCGGTTTGCGGCTGCTGGCTGCAGTGCTCTCGCTCAATACTGGACAATTTGTTGTCCACATTAGTCGTTTATATACACACACACACACACACACACACTCACACACACACAACACGTCGGAAAATATCGTCCAGGTTATAAGTTCATAAGTTTCAGTCACATAGAATAAAGCACCACTGTGTATCTAGCTAGTGGTGTAGTTTCTGATTGATACTACGGTTGACATGAAAAAGACCCTATCCAGAGCCAGTGTTTGTTTGTTCGTTCTGGGCTACTGTAGAAACATGGCAGTTCCACATTGCCCTCCCTCTGTAGATAAAATGGGTCTTTCTGAGTCTTTTACAACACTTGTTTCTGTAATACATTTTGTGTGCTTTCTGATCCTGGGTCAGGTGAGCGGGTCATGCAGCCTCAGATCCTGGAGTTGAACTTCAGCCCAGACTGCGCCCGGGCCTGCCTCTACCACCCCTCTTTCTACAATCACATGTTCCAGACGCTGTTCCTGGATCAGCCTGAGCACTGCCCGGTCACACAGATTGCATGAATCAACTCAACAGCAGAGGGGAGTGTCTGCAGTCATATTTTTCCCTCAATACTTTTCCATCTCCTTTCACACTTCCTCTTTGTAACTGTCCCTCTGTTGGTTTGTCAGTTTCTCGTTTAACCGTCTACTTTCCAAATGATTTTAAGATCCTCTGTAGCTCAGTTTGTCATAAACCCAGTTGCCTTTTTCATTTCAATGCAATGATTACAAAGTTGTTTGCAATACTGCTTGTGTTATAAACCCGGTGATTAAAACCAGAACGCTATTGTACAAATGAGAAGCAATAAAAACAATGTTGGATCAACTCTAGTTGTATCATAAATGATTCTGGGACAAATAACTCTTCTTCCTGTTCATTTACCTCTTCTCACCTGCCACCTTCCTGTTAGTTCTGTCTTGCCTTTTTGTTTCACATGTCTCCTCCTCAAGAAAGTCCAAGAGTGTGTGGACCCCCAGAAGTCCTCGTGGCACAGAGAGTGGGCATAGTGTTAGCTGCAGTAGTTGGAGAGGAAATGAAGAGGGTGAAGGTGAAAGAGAGAACATTCAGACCGACACAGAACAGCATGTGCTTGCTTGGAAATAGGAAAGTGTAAGTGAGCAGTTATCTACAAATAAGGACATATGTTTCTGTATGGTTGGAAATAGGCTTTCCATTATTGCCTAAAAATGGATAGTGACAGCGGAAGAGTGAGAGAGATAGCCATAGGTTTGAGCATTTGCCATAGGTCGGACTCAAACCTATGGCTGCATCCACTGCAGCAAGGACTCACCACAAGCTGCGATTTGAAACATATTTATAATGCACAAACAATCACAGTTTGTTAAAACACACACACACACACACACAAAACCTAAATAAATAACTAACATCAGAAGGTTAATTATACAGGGAAAGAAAAGAAATTAAGATTAATTTTGGTGACAAACTTCTTTATACCCATCTAAAGAGACTACTGACATGCATTTCTTTCTTTTTTTTATTGAGCACTGATAGTACAGAAAATGTACATAGATACAACATTCACAAAAAGAACTTTGGACCAATGCTCACATCATTATTTTATTTTCTCTAACTGTATGAACTGCATTATGTTATTAAACCACAGAGACACACTTGGTGGATTTTTGGATTTCCAATGTAATAAAATTCTTCTGCGTGCAAGCAGTGTTGTAAAAGCAATGATGTTTTTATATCTTTTCCTTATTGTAGAATATCTTCTGTCTGTAGTACCAAATATGGCCATTACTGTGTTGGGTTGTAGGTCAATATCAAGAGCCTCTGACAATGTTTTAAAGATTGCAGACCAATAGGATGCTAGGGCTGAGCACGACCTATGGGTTAAGCCGGCAGGAGTGTTTCGACACCTGTCTCAGCTTGCATCTGTGTTAGGGTATATTTTAGTAAGTCTGGCTTTGGAGTAGTGGATGCGATGTAAGATCTTAAATTGTATTATACTTAATTTGGCACATGAAGTGCTGTCATTCACTTTTAGTAGAGCGTTGTCCCAAATGTCTTCTTCCAAATCCTCTCCCAGCTCATCCACCCAGTCTGCCTTGATCTTTTCAAGAGTTGTATTTTTAAAAGAAGATGATTCTTGAAATAAGTCCTTTAAAGCTGAAAGTAGTTTCTAACAGAGCATCTAAACCAGAAAGTGATGGTATATATGGAAAGTTGGGATCATGATGCTGAAGGAAGTGGCGGACTTGGAAATATCAAAACAGGCTAGACCGAGGGAGGCCAAATTTATGTGATAAGTCATCAAAGCTAGTGAAAATACTGTTTATATACATATCTTTAAATTTATAAATGTCTTATCTTTGCCGAGAGTAATTTCTGAGTCTAATCTAGCTGGGAGGAAAAGATGATTATTGTGTATGGGACTTAGATGGAGAAGATTATTAAACCCGAAGCTCATCTAAGTTGAAACCATATTTTGAGGGTATTTATGACTACTGGATTGTTGGTGTATTGAGAGATAGAGATGGGAAGGCTGGAGGTGACCAGGGCTCTAAGAGAAGTTGAAGTGCAAGATGCAAATTCAAAATGGCACATGTCTGTATCAGGAGTGTGGAGCCAGTGCAGGATTTTTGAACATTTGAGGCCCAATAATAATGACTAAGCCACCCTGCATTTTAGGCCTCTGTAACAGTTCTAGCTGTATTCTAGGTTTCTTCCCGTCCCATATAAATGAAATGACCATATCAATAGATTTTAAGAAAGATTTAGGGAGATAAAGTGGAATACACTGAAACAGATAGAGAAATTTGGGGAGTGTGGTAGAAGTTTGACCGAATAAAGGAAAACCAAACTTTCTTTTTTTTGTCTTACATTATATAGAGGTGGTTATTGTATTCATTAGTTCATGTACAGTTCATCAGACATGTGTAGGCTGGGCTATATTTCAACCTATCATCTATCACATAAAGAAATGTGGTTATTGTATTAAGACAGCCATCTCATTCATAGTACAGTGGAAATGGCCTTCTATAGAACGGTATAACGCAAAGAATCACAGTTTATACAAAGGTATTTACTAAATGATAATTTTTCCTCTACAGGGAGCACATTCATTTTTATACAGTTCACCTTTCCTGCTAAAGATCGGTGAAGTGTCTTCCATTTCTTCAGGTCTGATTTGACTACTCAAATAGCAGACAGAAGTTTACCTGCTAAAGCTTCTGCATGTCTCTTGTAATGTTAATGCCCAAATATTTAAAGCCATTCCTAGACATTTGGAACAGTAGAGCGTTGTCTTGATATTTGTAAATGAATGACGCCCCAAAATAAAACCAGTCTGGTCAGCAGAGATCATGTCATGCATTGTGGCTTCTAAGCGTAAGGCAAGGGCCTTGGCCAAGATCTTCACGTCACAGTTTAGGTGGGAGATGGGTCGATATAAGCTGCATTCTGTGTTATCTTTACCTGGCTTAAGCAATGGGGTAATTGATGCTTCCGTCTGTCGTGTATCAAAATGATCTTTAGGACATAAGACAAACAACTTCTCTCAGTTAAGAAGTTTATTAGAATTGTATAATTAAAATAATACTTGGCCAAGGATCTTGTTGGATTGAGAAGCCACAGTCAGCGGAGTGCTGTTACTCTGTCTTTTCTCGCCCCAAAAAGAGTTATGATCAAAGGTTACAAGAGGTTATATAATTTTTACATTAAGCAATGTGATTGGTGGACTATATGATGGGACGCAACCATGGTTTAGACTTGGCGCTCCTTGTTGGTGCTCAGACTGGTTCCAGTCTCTTGGCACACGACCCAACCAATTCCGAGAGACAGCCCCTAAAGGAAAATTAATTATTCCACCCTGCTCTCCCTAACATACAAAATCATTTATGAAACAAAAGAGCTACAGTCAGATCTGGGTGCCTTCAACCTTGGAGATAACCACTCTGCCTCCCCCGGCCAGGTGTTTGCAGCTAGAGTAGCTCAGGCCGAGATGAGACTGTGTCTCTGTGCTTCTTCTCTTTGTGTACTAGCTTTAAAGAAATGCAGGCTTTCACATCTATGTGTATAAAAATAAATTTAAACAACTAATACCTAACAAGTCCATGTCTGTGGAAGGGATCCATGGGACAAAGAGTCATTAAACATATCAAGTAAAATTGTAGATAATTTTAATAGAGAACTTTTTATAGAACTCTATAGGGTACCCATCAGGGCCAGGCGTCTTGCCATTCTGCATTGCCTTAATCGCATTAATGATTTATATACATTTTAGTGGGGGCTCAGTCTCAGTCCTATGTCTTGCTTTTATAGAAAGAGCTTGGAGATTATTGAAAAAATGTTCCATGTCAAAGCTGTTAGTTATCTCTGACGTATACAGATTTGAATAAAATGAGGTGAATGTTTCGTTAATTTCTTCTGGGTCAATAGTTAGTTCACCATCATCTTTACGTATTTGTAGAATCTGTTGAGACACGGCGCGGCACTTGAGTTGTTGTGCTAATAGCCATCCAGCTTTGTCGCCATGCTCATAGACATACCCCCGTGATTTTAATAGGAGACGTTCTGTCTTTTCAGTGGATGACAAATTGTATTGCGTTTGGAGGTCCAGCTTCTTTTTATATAATTCAGGGGAGGGAGAGGTAGAGTACTGAAAATCCACCATAGCTATTGCTTTAATGAGCTCTGCTTGTTTTATTGTTTTCATCTTATTTGTTTTAGCAGAATACGATATAATCTCACCCGATTACCGCTTTTAATGTCTCCCATAAAAGAGAAGGGAAGTGTCATCTTTTTTGTTGGAATCTATAAAGTGAAGATATGTTATGTTTTATATCCGTCATGTGACCAATGATTAAAACAGATATGCTTGATTAAGTTGATTAAAGTTGCATTAGCAAATAAGGATGATTGAGCACCATGTAATAAATAGAAGGCTGGTACATTGCATGAACTCTGTACCGAGAAACAGGATGGACAAACAGCAAACTCTCAGCATTGAGTTAGGGTCACGCTAACCGCAGCTTCTTCCTGCAGCCGAAAAACAGGATCTTGAGATATAGGGAGCGCCACACAATCGAGTTGTCAGTTATGTGCGAAGGATAAATAGTATTAATCACTCTGTTGCACTGCAAAGGTTAAGATAGGGTTAATCACTCTGTTGCAAAGAACAGGTATATTGTCTATTGGTATGTGAAGTTTCAGGTAACACCCGGAGGCGTCAGCATGACATTGGAGTCAAATACTACGAGGAGGGAAGGCGCCTACAGCTGAGGGGAAGAAGTACATCTCACTGATGTACTATAACACACTGGGTCAGGGAGAGTTAGAGAGTCAGACTTTGTGAACTGCTTGTCAGGGATACTATAGTCTGGACCCAGAGCTCTGTAAACTTGGCATACTCTACTGGTGTCAAGAATAAAGCTGATTATTGAGTAAACTAAATCTTCTCCTATCGCTTCATTAAAGAACACGCGAGGCAAGGGGCTAAGTGAGAAGCCCCTCCTCAACAAAAGTCATCTATTTTTTGGGATATCATTTCATAAAAAGTCTCATCAGCCAGAAGATTTCTGTCTAATTTCCAAGAGGGCCCTTCTAATTTGCAAGAAGGAAATGCAAGGTCTAATATTACAGGGGCATGATCTGATTCAGCTATAGTTGAGTATTTAGCGTTTGTGACAAAGAGGAGAAGAGTATGGTCAAAATAATCTATCCTACTATACGAGTGATGTACAGAGGAAAAAAAAGAAAAGGACTTGCTTTGTGAAAATAAAGAACGCCAGGGGTCAAGACTTCCTGTCTGGTCGATAAAGGCTGATAATATCTTTTTAGACAGATTTGTAGATTTAGAATTGGAACGGTCTAATACTGGATTTATTACACAGTTTAAATCGCCACCAAATATCAATTGTTGTGAGCTCAAATCTGGATTAAATTATTTTCCCCATAAATGTATCATCATCCCAATTTGGGGCATAGATATTAATCATAACCACAGGCTTATGGTAGAGAAGCCCAGAAACCATTACAAATTGTC